TTATCCAAGAGATATCTGTTTGGGAAAATTTTTAAAAATCATAATGATGAAGAGTCTTTGTAGTGCACTAGAAGAAACAGGCAAGTATGAATAAGAAGATTTTGCAAATTTTGCCCTTTTTGGGCAAAATTTTGCCATTGGTACAAAATTTTTTGCAATTTTTTGCCATTAAAAATTTGCCATTTGTACAAAATTTGGTGCAAATTTTGCCATTAACTTGCTTTGTGACTTGGGTTAAGAGTCATTTATACACTTTTGGCCTCAGGTTTTTCATCAGCAAAATGAGGCAATTGAAATCAACAATCTAGAAGGATACCTTTCTATAGAATACCATGTTCCTTTCAGAGGTGAGAAACTGCACTGAGCTGTCTAGGGTGCAATTGCACAGCAAGTCTTCAATATTAAGAGTTTCTCAGTACAACTAATTAATTTAGCTTTGAAGAAGGTGACCAGGCACTCATACATAGGACACAGTCAGGTTGGACAAAAGAAAAATAAAGGGCAATTCAGCAACTTAAAGCATTGCTTCCCTACTCTAATACAACCCTGCTTATTTTTTGCTGTGGTTTGCAGACAGGGAGGTGTAATGTAAAGCCTCCAATGCTGGAAAAGTGAACTGATTCTGGATCCTCAAGCGATTAGAGAAAGGGGACAGATAAATACAGCTGGGATCCTGTGAACTAGGCCTAAGAGCTGCGCGCGCGCGCGCGCGCACACACACACACACACCACACACACACACACACACACACACACACACACACACAACATCCCTTTCCTGTCTGTCTGATTCCAATACAAACTAAAAGAAGAGAATGAAAAAAAAAAGAAAAAAAAATTGTGCTGTGGAATTTCATTAAACATTCCTAGTTGATTTAGAGCTTTGATTTAAGAGAGATTAACATTCATTTAAATTTTAGGTTTAAGTAGGATATCAGCTTAAGACTCAAAACAGAGAATGCAGTCAATGACCAGTCTCAGAGAACAAAGGCATGTTGGGCTGTTTGTTGGCTTCTGCATGTCTCTCAGAAGTTCATGCTGATTGTTAGCCAAATGATTTCCTCTCCAGTTTCCATTTGTGCCTTGCCGTTGACTTGAGCACCTAATAAATCTCAAATACCTTGATTCTCTTTTTTTTTTTTAAGATAAGATGCTTAAAACTTCAATGGCTCCCATTGCCTAAAAGGTCTTGACATTCAAGGTCCTCCAAGGCTCCACTAAAGTCTCACCTTCTGCCTTTCCCAGTCCTCCTTAATCTTAGCACCTTCCCACTTTATCCTTTAGCTATCTTGTGTATATGTAGTTGGAATGCTGTCTCTATCCCACTCCTTTGGGAGCTTCTTGAGGTAACAGTCTATTTTGTTTGTATACTCAGTGCTTTAACACAATGCCTGGCACATAGCAGGTGCTTAATAAATGTTAGTTGATATACTGACTCCAATATTTGTGTCAGGAGAACCACAGCTCAGAACAACCTTAGGTAGATAAGGAAGGATAAGGAGAACAAAAAAAGATTTTTTTAAAGCTATATAGGAAAGAAGAGGAGGAATAAAGAAAAAGAATTGTGGCTTGGGGATGATGATAATGAACGCTGTGAAGGCAGAGGTGCCTTTCTCATTTGGTTTGTTTTCTTTGCAGAAGAAGATGACCTTTGCACTGGAAATGTTGGCTAACAGCATTGATACCAAAGAAAAACAAAATTGTAGTCAGAGAACACCTAAGAGCTCTCAGTATTGTGCATAACAACAACAGCTAGCTTTTATATAGTGCTTTAAGGTTTGCAAATATCATCTCATCTTACCCTCACGGCAACTCGAATGTAGGTGATATGATTATCACCATTTTTTTTACTGATTAGAGGAAAAGGGGCAGCTAGAGATTAAGGGATTTACCCAGGAACACAAAGATGGTAAAGATCTGAGTTTGTATTTGTATTCAGCTCTCCCTGGTTCCAGGTCCAGCATAATATCCACTGAAAAATCCCTGGAGCAAAGGTAAGGTTTTGGTTATCTGAGAAGCTGACTTTAGGACAGTAATGCAAACTTCAAATACAAAGGCATCCCTGTGGGCCCCATATTGACTTAAAAAATAACAAATTCACATTATCTATGTTGAATCATATTTTATTTATTTTATTAATCATTTCCTAATTATATTTTAATCTCGTTTGGGCAGTAACATGTGCTTGTGGGTCAATAGTTTGACACCTCTGCTTCAGGCTATTGAGAATGATATAGTGCAGTGATCCTCAAACTTTTTGGTCTCAGGACCCTCTTACAGGATTAAAAATTATCAAAGACCTCCCAATGAGTTTTTGTTTTTATGGTTATGTACATCAGTATTTACTGTATTGGAATTTAAAATGTCTTTTATTCTTATGAAAATTGTTTTGACCTCACAGACCCCTAAAAGGGACTCAAGGAACCCAGGGGTCCCCCATACCACAGAGGACCGTGGGCATAAGGGATAAAATGCTAAAACTAGAGCCAGAAAGACTGGAATTTGAGACCTAAGTCTTACACGTGCTGATTGTATCACCCCAGACAAGTCACTTAAACTTGTATTAAGTTTTCTCATCTTTATTTATCTCTGCATTGTCTTCCCCCCTCCCAAAGTGTCATACACTCAATAGACACTCAGAAAACTAAAACCTCATTTAAGACACTGAAAGACCTCCATAATCTCTTCTCTAGAGTACTGACTCCATGTTATGTTGCCATCCAAGTGGGTTGATCTCCAGAAAGCAGGCCTGATGAAATTCAGGCCACTGGTCACTTCTCAGAAGGCAATAGGTTTTCCAGAAAAGTGCAATGACATCCATTCTGATTATCCTCAGGTAACCTTTCTCCAGTAAGAATTACCCTGCCTACAGGGTCATTTGACTTGGCTGAAAATTAATTGGAATGTAGCAGACTACCAGAGAGGCCTTTGGAAGCATTGTGGTCAGGATGCTGTCATCTTAAACAGAACAGAGAGAAGCACACGGGACATTCAGACATTCTAGGTGAAAAAAAGACAATTTTCTTCACAAGTCAAGCAATCATGCAATCAACAAGCATTTATTAAGCATCTGCTTAGTGACAGGCACTGTGCTATGTGCTGAGGATAGAAAGACAAAAAAATGAGTTGGTACTTACCCACAAGGAGCCTATGTTCTATCAGGGAAAGTTGTCAGGTTCCCCTTCATTGATCTCAAAATGGGATGAGATAAGCCCATTCTTTGCTTTGGTATGAATCTGCTCCAAATAATATTTATAAATCCAGAGGAGTGAATGGGCCCAACGTAATTGATAGAACTGCTGACCAGGAAGTCCACTCACACTCCTGACCAATGTGTTCAGTTCCACATTTTCCTAGATGATAAGGGGAGGTGGACATAGGACCCAGTGGGATGTCATGGGAAGGATAATAGAGAGAGAGCAGGAAATGTGCAAAGCAAATACTCTACCTGCAGATAGTTAGGGAGGGCACATGAAGCAAAGAGTGATCTCCAGGGCTGCAACATCAGGAACATATGATTATCCTTTCCCTGTTGTGGATAAGTAAAACTTTTTTTATTCATTGTTGAATGACTTCTTTGAGATCAGACTTAAATTAAAAAGGGGATTGGCTTGTCAGGTCCAACCCATAACACACCTACTCTGCACATGGCACTAAAGATACAAAGTTAAAAAAGAAAAAGATAAAGAAAAAGAAAGAAAGAAAGAAAGAAAGGAAGGAAGGAAGGAAGGAAGGAAGGAAGGAAGGAAGGAAGGAAGGAAGAAAGAAAGAAAGAAAGAAAGAAAGAAAGAAAGAAAGAAAGAAAGAAAGAAAGAAAGAAAGAAAGAAAGAAAGAAAGAAAGAAAGAAAGAAAGAAAGAAAGAAAGAAAGAAAGTATCCTCACCCAGGAGTTTACATTCTACAGAAACATGATTCTCCTTCTCCATTCCCCCAAATCTTACAGTACTTTTCTTGTTTTGGTAAGTTTTCTTGTTCTGATAGTTTTCTGAGTGTCTATTGAGTGTATGACACTTTGGAAAGGGGGAAGACAATGCAGAGATAAAGATGAGAAAACTTAGTCTCAGTTTAAGTGACTTGTCCAGGGTGATACAATCACCATGCATAAGACATAGGTCTCAAATTCCAGTCTTTCTGGCTCTAGTTTTAGCATTTTATCCCTTATTAAGGATTTATCAAGGTCCTAATAGCTATTGGGCAGCTAAGTGATTCAGTGGATAAAATGCCAGGCCTGAGTACAAATCCAGCCTCAGACACTTACTAGCTGTGTGACCTTGGACAAGTCACTTAACCTCTGTTTGCATTAGTCTACTGGAGCAGCAAATGGCAAATCACTTCAGTATCTTTGTCAGGAAAACCTCATGGACCATATGGTCCATGGGGTCACAAAGACTAGGACACCACTGAATGAAACAACCCCAGCATTCTCCAATTGATGGACACCACAAAAAGAGCTGTTATAATTACTTATCTCTTTGTAACCCAAGAGGTAGGATTTGATTCCAGATCCTCAGATGTTCTTCCCACTGTACAACTGGAAAAGGTTGAAGGTGTTGGCTAGGATGTGGTTTGTTTTTTGTTATTTATCAGTTTACAGACGATTCTTTTCTCTCTAACGATTCTGCCGTATACAGCTTTATGACACACCAAGAAAACTGCCCCACAGGCAAGCTGTCAAAAGGTGGTTGCAGTCACTAGGAGTTTCCTCCGAGAAGTTCAATTAGCGGGTGGGGAGTGAAGCGCAGATCCTACACTCTCCCTCCCCTCTTCCACAAAGATCCCTAATGAACGGCTGCAGACTGGGCTTTGAACAGATAGTGTCCTATAATGGGGCGTAATAACAAGTACCAGCAGCCCCGCCATCCTGGCAATCTGCCTCCAGAAGTCTTTATCCCGATCTTCATTAATAGGAATAACAACAGTCCTCACCAGGATCATAAATAAGGGGAGTGGAGCGGGAGGGGAGAAGCAGAGCCAACCACTGGAAGGAAGGAGGGGGGAGCTGCCGCAGAAGGCTCCGGGTAAATACCTTCCCTTCCCTTCCCTTCCCTCCCGGGGCACGGGAGTCGGCGTCAGAACGAGTGAGTAGGACTATTGCCCCGTGGCGGGGGTGGGACGGGAGTGGGGCGCTTTCTCCTAGTCTCGCTGGGTGCAAGGGCCTCTCTCTCCCCCTCAGGCAGGAGTTGGTTGCAGCCGGTTGCGGGGCGGTGAGTAGGAGGAGGTGGAGGAGATCTGGCGGGCCCTTGGGTGGGGGGCCAGTGCTCCTCAGTCTGGGTCCGAAGAGGGCGGGCTGCAGCTGGAGCGGACATACTGAGATTGGGACTTCGCAGAGCGGGGCAGGGCAGGGCAGGGCAGGGCAGGGCAGGGCAAAGGCAGTCTGGGGAGAGAGGGACGTCCAGGAACCCGCCGCCAGAAGCAGCAGAAAGGATGACAAGGTTAGTGAGGACAGGGGAGAAGAGTTTCTTTGCTCTTTTTCATCCCTGGCACCGGGAACAAAAGCAGGAGCTGGGGATCTGCTGAGTGGAGAAAGGCTCGAGGTCGGATGAGAAGCAGCCAAGAGTTGCATGGCCTTGGGGGGGGGGGGGAAACGACACCAAGAAGGGAACGTGGGGATTGTTGGGGGACCTCCTCTTCGAGCTGGATCTGGGGGTCTTGGGGCTAGAGTGAACTGTCGGGGGAGAGTAGCGGATGCTAAAGGGGTCTTCCCTCTCATTTTGGGCTCCCTAGGGTGGGAATATATGTTGAGTCAGGGACGCGGCAGCTGCGTTTGTAAAATAGGAGACAAACTTTGCATGATTCTCTACCGACAGCCCCGAGAACTTAAGGGATTTGTAGGGACCCCAGAAGCACCTCCCTTTGGATGGGGCTTTGGTACAGAAGTGCAGAACTGGGGTTCACCTGAGGTGCAATGAGAGCCAGCGCTGAGTTGTAACGGGGCTTTGGGAAGAAGAAACAGTCAGAAAACTTGGGTGGGAGCTTCCCGGATGGGACTTTTCCTACTTTGCTCTGCGGGTGTATAGGTTACCTCTAAGTTTCAAACCCCCAACGCCAACTGGGGCTTTTGGTGCCTTATTTGACATATCACTGTTTTCTACTTTGGAAAACCGAGACTACGTGCTGGACTTAGCTGGTTGAGAAGGGGGATGTTCACTTTTTTTTTTTTGGTTGTTTGGGAGATTTAATAACACAGATCCAGTCAGTCATTTATTAAAAGCGCAGAAGACCTGGCTCACCCCAGCCAGAGCCAGGAAATTAAAAGGCTGACAGGCAGTAGCTCCAAGGGCTGGGGTTTCCTGTTTTAAAGAGCTTTGTAAATGGAATTTACCTCCTCTATAAATCCATCTACCCTTCTTATGCAAAAGAGAAACCTAGCTGGAGGAGGCAAAGTGAGACTAGGGGAGAAAAGTGCTGGATTTGCAGTCAAAGGACCTGAGTTCTAATGTGAGCTCTGCTCCCTATTTCCTGTGGGATCTAGGGCATGGCACGGAACCTCACAGGGCTTTAATTTGCTCATCTGTAAAATGGGGGTAAGGGTTGGAGTAGATGACCTCTAAGGGCCTTTCCAGGTCTAAATCTCTAAATCTTTGACTAAGCCTGTTACCTTTTATCCTCCCAGCTCTGCCCTTACCATTTTGCTCTAGGCTCACCTCAGCTTCTCTTTAACTCCCCCAAAGTCTCCAGCTATTAGGTAATTTACTACTGTGAATGCTGTCCCCACCTAGGTGCAGCAGGGAGTGGGGAATGGAGAAAAGCCACACAAAAATTTACTACAGTTTTGTTAGAATTCTTTGTAAAAACGCACTAAAATATCAGTAGTTAACATTTATGACTCTCTCCCAAATGTACGAATGACATTTTTAATTGTGTTGAGATGTTAAGTGTTTGGGGTTTTGATTTATTTGGTTTGATTAAGAGTGATCTGTGTGTTTTCTTTCAGGATTCTTAAATTCAGTCTTGCTGGGAGAAGTCTGATATTTGAATGTACTGGGCTAAATGTGTGCCCCAAAAGCAATAGGGCTTTTGGGTTTTCATAGGATAGCAACAAGTTATTGAGTTTTGGATAAATAAACGTTTAGATTGTCTAGTACTAAAAAGAAGAGCTTATTTGCTGGGTGCTATTGCCCTAGATTGTGAAAATATTTATAAGGAAGAAGACTAAATTTCTCTGAAAAACAATGAAACAATGGCCTTTTTCATGGTTTTAACTTAGTCATTTAAACGCATTATGAATGATCCATAAAAGATGCACAGTCATTATTATTTGGGAGAAAGAAGGATTATTGCATTTGAGTAATGTAAGTAACCAGTGCAGCCTTCACCTCTTGAGACCTAGTGGTTTACAAATCCCAGTCTCACTGACAAATGGAAAAATGAGATGTTTGGTTTTAGTACAGTCATCATTTTGCTCAATTTGCAATCTTCAATCTGTTTCAAGCAGCTGGCAGCTGTTGCTCTTAGGATGAGGCCCAAGACCTTGACTGTAGGGGGTGCAGTCTGGATCCAAAAAGGAGGGGGGAGAATAAAAGGATTCTGAGAAAATTATGACTAGAAGCTCGTATAACTTCTATCTTCCAGGAGCCTGACTGAAGCCAGAGCTCTTCACCATCCTTTCCAGAAGAACTTCCTTTTATTTACAGAATTGTAGGGGGAGGGGGAAGGAAAGAGATCGAGGTTAGAAGGGAGGGGGGGGTAGGAAGATAGGGGAAGAGGATAACTTTTAATTGATTTAGCAATTAGTAGCTAAATTGCTTCATTTCCTCCCCCTTCCAAAAAAACCCCCTAAAACACTATTTTCCCACTTATGAAAAGAAGGCTTTTTTTAAATCCAAAAGTACATTGGAAAAGTAAATAAGAGAATTAGATTTCTTTCAAATTATCTTACTAGACTAGCAATGGGGCTTATGACTTTGTTAATTTTTAGCCCATAGCATAGTGTGAGCTTGCCAAGCTGCAAACTTGGAAGGAGAGTTAGCTTTGCACCTATTCCAAGAACACACGTGTTTCATGAGTTAGATTGCCTATGCAGATGTTTAAGTCTTTTGCCATCCCTTAACTGACTATTAACCTGTACATATATCTTTTACATCAAACAAAAACAAGTTCCAAATGATCTGCTTAATCTACAATCCCCCATTATACTACATTATTGCCTCCAGCCATATTTTAACAGGATTCATAACACTAATTTGGCTCCTTCAAGAACTTGCTTTATAGCATGCGCTCTAGCTCTATTCAGACAGAATGCATTTTAAGGTTCTTTATGCCTCTAGGATTTAAGAATTTAAGAATCACAAGTATATTACAGGTGTTAGTTACCAGTAATTACTCACTACTTTTCTTTAGGTTTGGGTGGGCTGATTTTCATTTGATAGAGGTGGGAAATTCATATTTGGTGAAAAGGAGTCTTTTGAGACCTAAGTCTAACCCTTCTGTGCCAAAGACATGGGATGTTACATTTAGGATTTACCATATGTAGCCTCTGAATAGAGGCTGATTTGGCATCAGCCCCAGGGGACAATATAACATATGTCTTGATGAAGCATCCCTATGGAAGAGATGTGCAATTCTATTGTTCGTGACCTGTGATACTAAACTGATGTCTGTACCATACTATCCCTGGTAAAGTGGACAGCAGATGGGTTCACAAACATAACAGATGCTCCTCTTTAAACTCAGGTATAAATGAAACATTTGTACGTTTCAACCAATCAGTTTCAAACAAACACTTATCTCAACCAGCCTCACAGGTGCTGCTGGCCTTATGCATTGAGACTAACTGAACTCTAAGTTGTCTTTGTTATAGGACTATATTATATGTATACCTAGGGATTAAGGAACAGGCTTCAGCCCTTAAAAGTTTTTGCTATTCCTTGGCCAAATGAGAGGGAGGGAGATGTAGACATGTAAGAGAAGGATGGAAAGGAACCTAAAATAAAGGGAAATCTGCAAGCTCAGAAAGATGTTCTATGTTGTCCTCAGATATCCAAGGAAACTGGGAAAATCTTCATATATTGATGAATGAAAAGATGTAAAACTTAAATTTTGGACCAGGGAGTCAGGAGACTAATTCTCAGGTAAGCTAGTGGTGTTTGGTATGATCTTGGGTTAGTCAGAATCATAGAATTTCCTACCAGAAAGGGACCTTAGAGGTCCTCTAATTCAACCTCCTTTTTTTTTTTCTACAAATGGAGACACAGAGGCCTAATCAAATTAAGTAACTTGTCCAGGTAGTTAATAACAGAGCCAAGACTCAGACCCAGGTCTCCAGAATTCTTGGGCCGCATTCTTTCTATTAGATACTCATTTCTGAGTTTCTTTAATAGAAGACAATAATATCCAGTTATTTACTAATTTCCTAAAATCAATTAAATAAGAGAAAGTATTCAAAATGTTCTGTTCATGGAAAGATGCTAAGTAAGCCACTGCCAGTATCAAAAATATTTTACACATGCCCTAATTTATGTCAAATATATCTCCTTGATGCTGTAATTTTGAGGTTCAGTTATGATATTTCTTCGTAAGTTAAATTTGGGACTCCTGTCTGTTGATGTCTTGTGGGTTTCTCTGAACTATACATTTCTGTCTACTTCCATTATTTCTGAGCAATTTTTCTGTATTATTTCTTAGACTATGGGCATTCATGATTGTTTTATTCCATTATTTTTCCTTCTTTCTCAATTTTTTCATGTTACTTAGGTTGTTCTCTTTTTTCAGAATCTACTGTTACTGAAAGAGTTTACTTCTTTTGCTGTAAGTCCTTCCAACCTTTTATTAGATTTGCTGATCTCTTCCTTTAGAATTCTAACTTCTATCCTTATTTCTTAGGTAGAGAGGGAGCTCTCTTACTTAGGTAGTGTAGTGAACAGAGAATCAGCTTTAGAGACAGAAAGACCAGAATTCGAGTTCCATTTCTAACACATATGGATTCATGATCCTGGACTAGTCACTTAGCTTCTCAGAGACTCAAACAGATACATTGCAGAGAAGATGCTGGTCTGCATTAGTAGATTTCCTCAGGAGTTTTTACGCCAATTAAATCACTGATTGACTCCCATTTCTTTGTTATTTTCATTTAGTTCTT